GTTATTCAGAGAAATCGTTTACTAATCATGTAAAATTCAAAAAAATTGTTCATTTATTCAAAGAAACAGTATTACGTATGTATATATCCTGAAAGTTTACAAATAACTAAGAGTTAAAGAATGTATAAGTTTGAAAGGTGCATAATGAAATTTCCGAGCAATATTTTTTTGAGCTCTCTTCTTATTTGGATCCAGTCATTTTTCAAGATGTTACTCTCGTTAATTTTAAGAAAAATAATATCTTGTATCCCGATAATGGGTTTTTATCACTAATGAATTTATCCCAATATCCAAATCCTTTTTAATATATCCTTTATACATGAGTTATCTTATTTTACTGTGAGGAGGATTAATTGCCAGCTGTTTTATTACCATTATTAGCAAGTTAGATATATTGCATACTGATCATGGAAGTATGAGCTTCATTTATGATCTGTAAGGGATTTGTATGGCATGTGTAACTCAGTATAGTAATATTGTGTTTGGAAAATCAACACAGATCTCTTGTTTTAATCTCGCAATTTAATTTAATTATTGCGATATCGAGGAAAGTTTTTGAATATATTCAGCAACGTTAATCAATAATCCGCGGAGAAAAATCATTTAATTTATCAGCAAATATTATTCGCAAAATTAGATGTCAGCAGGACTGAATTGGAAACGCACGTAAACTACGAACTTCGGTATTCTAATTTTTCATGTCGGCATTCCCAGAATTTCGAAAATGTGCGGCCGGGAAACGCTCAATTGTGCTCGCCGTCACGTGCATCGGTACACATGATTCCGATATTGTTATCAAGCCTTTATTACATTCTGCCTTTACGTCGACATATTTCGACGTGCTTTAGGGAATCCGCGCTTTATCAAATTTATTAAAATTTAATTATTAAAATTAACTGAGGATTAATCAAAAACCTCTACTTTTTAATAGTAGAAAATATAATTAACTGTAGAAATCGTACTTTTTGCATAATATTCTTTTTCACTATTTAAATTGAAATGCTGTCGGCCGCGAGATTATCGATTATGAAACCTGCTTTTATTCGCTACGTCTTTTGGATGATAACGTGATACACGTCATCCCAGCGAATGCAATCACGGTGGCAGGATCGAATATAATTGGAGCTTAAGGAAACTCTACGGGATGGAATCGTCGGCATGTATAGAGTTGATTGGCGATAAGCAACGTGAAACGTCAGCATACGCGTCACGATGTCATATCATCAGGAAATGATCCCCTATGGATCGTCTTTATCATGAGACGAGTTTACCGTATCATTGTGATTAAATCGTGCAAAACTCGGGATCGATTAGTTACGCAGACGAACTGTTGTTACGCGGAGGACCGTCTGCATCGCACCGCAGAATAAAAATGCTAATTTCTCGAATGACGAGGTTTGTCGATCGCGTCCGTATGCATTGTTTCGGACGCGCGTTGCACGCAATGAATTATTCATGACGAAATAGGTTCGGGGGTGCCAAGCTTAATGCCGTCAGATTCTACCGCGGATAACGGACTTCATTTCATGACCGAGGGGACTGCAAGACCGCGTACTTTAAGAATGTGCATGAATGTATTAGTCCGATGTAGCGTAAAGAGGCTGAAACTTTTGTGAAATGAAAAGGAAATTATTCGACTCGCATTTCGGCTTGCTTGTTGGTTATAACGCGATTTCGTAGTAAATTGCAGTGCATGCTAAATAAATGGTAAATCAAATTATGGTAAATAGAAACGAGAATTTCCTAAAAGTATCTGATATTTTATAAGTTACATTTTTAAAGCTTTAAGAATGAGAAATTTTTAAAACTATATGTAAATGTCATTATTTGTTAAGATTGATACAAGAAAAAAATTATAATTAAGATTTGTAAACTTGTTGCTCCGAATATGCAGTTTGTTAGACATGTAAACTGCGAAAATTACGTTTGTAGAGGATCAGCGAAAGGCAATAAATTGAATAAAAAATTTATATACAACTAGTTCTAAAGTTTTCATTCTCGAACGCTTCTCGGGCAAGTTGCGGGAAGCTCGATCGCGAGAATGAAGTATTACTCGTTTCATAAAAACTTTTTTCTGCGTGAAAAAATTCTGACGAAATAAATCGCCGTGTCAGCTTCGTGTTATTTCTCATCTGCTTGCTTAGTTTACTACAGGAGACAGCATGATGAAAGGGTTGACTTGCACTCAACTTGGCATTGATGCAGGTGCTAAACAGCACTTTACTACGAGAATTACATTACAAATTCTCTTTCTTCTTCTTTCTCCTCTCTTTTTCTTCTATGGAAGTTGAAGATGAAAGTTGAAAAAAAATGAGGATAAAATAGTATGTACTCTTACAAGTCTCGTGAATGTTTCAGCGAAAATTAAAATGCAGTTTATGTCTCTAGTTGTAGTTGTAGTTTTTGCATATATTTTGCTCTGATGTTTTGTCAACGAGGAATGTTTACTCATGTTCTTGCTTTTACCACAGCAACTGTATATTTCACTTTGGAGCAAATGGAAAATTTTTACATATGTGACGAATCGTATTAATTAGATTAGATATATTAAACCTTGCTATTGAGAAATAGAATATTTTTCAAAAATATATAATTATAATATATTAATTGTCTTTATTATTTTTACGCAATTTGTGTATTATACGAGAATAACGCTAGACGAACTTGATTATTTAATACTACACTAAAATTCCTAATTTTAGTGTATCTCTAACTTTATAAATGTTTTTTAATTTATTGTTCACTGAGATAAAATTAATTCTACATATGCATTTGAGGGTCAAATTGTTTTACAAAAACTAAACTTTCCAAGAAAACAGGAGAATCCACAGTCAGTAAACATGAATATATCATGCACGGCAGTCGATAAAATGGCTACAAGTGGATAAGGTATCAGTGCTCGGTACTTTTACTCAATCGATAACACAAAGATATCAACTATTATGGAATGTACGAAAATAGGGAATACCTACTCGAGGTATTTCATTACATCATGGAGTATATATATCGAGAACTGATAATTTTTAGCATCGATCCGATCAGAGATCACGAAAAGTGCGTTTTTTGCTGCCTAGGAATGATCCGCATGATCCGCATAATCATTTTTCTACAGATCCGAACATAATACATTGCGAACATTTATGTATTTTTGTGCATTATATATATTTAGATACATGTGATTTTATGAATGATTACTTGAGAAAAATTCAAATCAAGATGCAATTTAACTTAAAAATAAAATAAGAAGAATGGAAATAATAATAGTAAAAATAGGATATGTATATACGTGATATTTAATATTGATGCAGCTGAATTGCGAATGTTGAAGTTTATTTTTTATTTATATCTTTTAATTGAAAAAATAGTATCTATATTAGTATAAAAAAATTTTTTAAGTTACCTCAATATAAAATTTATAAAACGAATTTATAAAGCCAATTCGATACATATATACAATTGTTGAACTTATAACGATTTATCCATATTATACTCTATGAAGCGTTTAATTTGCGAAACACAAAATATTTATTTTACTGAAATCATAACATCACAGGCCAACCAATTTGTATCGCAGTTAATGTACACTCGTACAACATCTTCATTCGCGATATGTTTGCCTTTAATTAACGCATTTAATAAAGCAACCGCGATATTTATCGTGATAAAATATTAATGAGACATCATGACTATTACATGACTCAAAATGAATAACTCATATTAAACGCAACAGAGATTAAATCGAAGATAAAATTGCTGAAGTGATCGATGGTGCGTGGACTTGTTTAAATAATGGCTCGGAATGAGAGTTGTTTCACATATGTATCGTTCGGTATATAATCCCATAAAATAAATCATGAAATTATTGTCTACCGCATAGACCGCCAGACAAATTTGTGAATTTTCAAATAACCTGAAATCCTGGCGTTTATGTCAATTTTGTATTGTATAATCAGATAATAACGCATTAATTTTATTTTTAAACAGAATAATGGGTTAAATGTATGATACATTTTCAGAAATAACTGATATAATTGTATATTTAGCATTTATATAATTATAATTATTTAAATTATTACTACCCAATTTTATATATAACGTATATAATATTCATATTATTATTAGATATAATTTCATAAAATCTTACTGCTTACAAGACTTGAATTTTCGCGGATAACGTATTGCTCTTTCGAGATATTACAATTATTTGAATTTTGGTCCTTGAGACAACACTCGACGTATAAGCCAGAAACGTACGGAAAGCTCTTAATCCCTGGGTAGCATTAAACATTCTTTGGGACCGCGTTATCCCCGGAGTTATCCCGAAAGGGTTAAGTGACGAATAACTGTACGGCTTACGTTAATTCCGCGGTGGCGGCGGCAGGCTGGCCTATATATCGTACGATTGCGCCAAACCGGAGGAAACCGCGTACAAGTTCGGATGTTTATGCTACGAGCAAAACCGAGAAGTGCAGCTCCAGCGGAGTAACTCTCGCTTTGCAGCCGCTATGGCAATAAGCATGCGCTATATGGTTCCCTCATGCATATTCGGGAAAGGTAAACTTTACGGCGAATTTGCCCCTCGGCCAGTTCCCTGCACAACTAGCTAATTAACTATCGCGTCGGATAACTTTCGATAACCGCGACTGTCCGCGGCAGTATCTCACAGCTTACACGTAATCAACGTCGCTATCTGCGACGACGCAATATTCATATAGGTTGCCATAAGTCTCGTTACTAGGCGACAACCTGAAATTGTGAATAATTCCAAACAAATTGGAAGCACAAAATACTTTCCAATTTAAATGTAATTTTCTAAATCCCATGGATGGAACTAAAAGCAGTTTAAGCCAAATATGTAAAATTTTTGAATAAAAAGATGTAAAATGTGAATAAAATGAGATGTTAGATCGTTCCTGATCTTCCTATGTATAAAATGTAATGATATATTGAAACATGGAATGACGTGGAGGGAATAAATAAATAATTCGATTGTACTTTCATTGTGTATTAAAGATTATTTTCGGGTCAACGAATATAACGATGTTTTAAGAAGTACATTATAAAGTGCGTATCACATACATATAACGAAGGTGATTCAAGATGGTTATAAAGATTAATGACGCTATTCCGCACTAGACAATATTTTCATAATCGTAAAAAGTAATATTCACATCTACGTTTCTTGTTTCTGATGCTATAAACTTTTACGAAGATAAATTACTGTCGTAACGTCAGGAACTTTTCGTCAGGAAAGATTTTTAAACAGCATACACGATGCGTTTTCATAAAAGTCGGAAGTACTTGTTTTATTGTGAGTCATTAAAAATATCGCGTTGTTAATGCTGAGCAGCATTAGGAAAGAATAAAAAAGAGATAGTCATAGAATTCTATAAAAAACTATGTTGCATCTACTTTTAAGAAAGGCAGATTTATTTAGCATTAAATTTGTTATAATTAAAAAAAATTTTTTCCGCTAAATTGTTTTAAATAAATATCACAGTCTAGTCTAGAGCATTTTTAAGCAACTACACATTTAATTGAATTTTTAATTCTGAGTATATGTGGATGATTTCGAAGTATTTGCGTCTTGCGCTCTTCACGATTTTGTACTAACTTCAGTAGGTTTCGCTGGCGGTTCTTTCACAGATTGCGGAAAGAATAGAGATATGCAGAGGCAGACTGAAAAAATACAATAAAAAAAATTAAATTATACTTTATCAAATAATTAGGATTAATTTTAATTATCTGATTAAGTCACTTAATCTAAAATATGTTTGAGCGTTTATAACAGCAGTTTGTGAAATTTGTGGCAGTCTTATATAATTTGATATATTGATCATTTGATACTTTAATATACATTAAATCTATCATTATAAATTAAACTATCTCGTAGATAAGAAGTGTTTTTAAGATAATAATTTGATCAACCTTTAAAACACTCTTAAAATATAATATCTTATCATTGACACGCTTTATATCGAAAGGATTAAACTAGCACGCGTAGCATTAATCGTACCGGAGAAGAAACAACCCATTCCTATGAAAGCGGTGAGGCACTCAGTCTCCAGAAGCGCGGAAAAAATCAGATTTCCCACAATAGCAGCAACATTTCCAATGCTCGTAAGGATATTGATGCTCGTATCTCTGCAACAAAAAGATTAGTTTCTGTCGACCGATTATATTTATCTTTTGCGACGATGTACTTCCGTTTCTCACGTTAACGGACACGGACGATAATAGGGAGTTTTTGCAATAACTGAGTGAATTCAGATACGGTGAACGCTAAAGCCATGTTATCCTTTTCTTAATTAGTTGTTAAGAAGAAGATAACCTAACCTTAACGTTCACCGTATCTGGATAAACGGTATTGCAAAAACTCCCTAATAAGTGGCGAATTGAGGATTGCGCTCGATAAGTTCTGAAATTGTTACTGTTCGCGCGCTCGCCATCTGCCACGTGGTTGCACGTGGCGCAATTAATTCCTCTGCAGGAATTACACAGGGATGCGCGGGCGAGAGTGCGGAAGATACGGTCGCGCGCGTCAAAGAGACACGCTTATATATTCGCGCGGCATTACCTTAATGGGACGGGAATAACGTCGACATTCACCGCGGTAACGATATTACCCGCTATTCTTGTCGTCACGATAACCGCCGACGCCAGCGTCAGCATATACGGTGGAGACTGCGCCCAATTTATTCCGAAACTGCTTGCCACCGATATCAGGAGGGCCGTGACTGCAACAATGGTGCTGTATCCGTTAATTTATGGATTATTCCCGCGAAACAATTGTTCCATAGAGAATTCTTAGCCACTTCTACGTGTGTAACAAGAATATATAAAAATAATTATATAAATAATTTTATATAATTTTATATAATATATATAAAAAATACGCAAAGAAAATTGTCATTTTCTTTAAAAAAAGAAAAAGAATATTTTAATAGTTACATTTTTTTATGGTAGTAATTATTGTATTTATTCTTATAATATAAAATAATTCATATTAATTTATTTAACAAAGTTAGATGAGATAGCTTTAAATTTTATACAATAAATGTAACGATATATCTTACTCATTATGATCTGTTTTCGAAGTTTAGTAGTCATTATGAATCCGGCGAGAAATGAAAATATAACGGCAGACGATGCAATAATGGTGGAATTTAGATAAATCACAGGATAGATGGTCCACTGAAAAGCATTAAGGCGCTTTAATTGCTATTATATAAATTCTATTGAAGAAAATAATTAATGAGGCTCGTAGTTTGCGGTTAATCAACGATTGGTTTAATTACCTGTTAATTAAAAACATTACAGTTTTATTTTAATTATTCATTTGACGATAATTTATAGATTATCAACAGAATGCCTTTTAGTGTTATGCGACTTTATACCAACCTTGAAAAATACATCGTCAAAGTTCGAATAATTTAAATATTGCCTGCCCGGTAGAGTCACGTGAGGGTCCAACAGCTCACAGAAAGTTGGCTGCCTTTCCTTCGGTGTCCAATTTTCCTCGTCAAAGTTGCTGACAATAATAAAAAGTTGCGGCACCCACAGTCTCATTATGTGAAATCTACGCAATCGAACAGTATTTGTCACTGCTTTCGAATGTTATCGTGTTGAGAAGCGTCCAGTGGCGCCGTGACTTATCCAAACTTACCCGAGCATACTTCCAAATTGGAGGAAACTTACGAAGCAGACAGCGGGCAGATGACTCGCCAGTAGCATCTTCGTGTTGTACAACGAGATGCGCATCCTTTCGAGGCTCTCCTTGAGCATGGGACGCGCCAATTGCGTCTTTTGCCGAACGAACAGCGCTTTTATCTACAACGAGAAGGGAGCGACGATGAAAGGGGCCCTTTTCTCGGCTCACCGAGTGAATTATGCGTCCGATTTGTGCACCGCTATCTAAATGCAGTGGCAAGAGCGGCATAAAATACGAAAGGCACAGACATATAGTATAAGATAGGGAGAAATATATGTATAAGTGTGTATGATACATAAAGCATGAACCGTATAAATTTATCATTGTTTTCATTATCAAGATCTGAATAAATAGATCTGTGAAATGGTGATTTATTGTCCAAAGGTTTCGCGATAAAAAGAGGTGCAAAATTTAAATTCGCTCGGGGTGTGTGTTGTAACGCCCAGTACCGACCCTACCTTCATTCGCCTGGAAAATACGATTTGCGCCTTTCTCCACATCCGTTTCCGCTTTACTTCGCTTTCTCGCTCTTTTTCTCTTCTCTGCGGACGTGCCATAAATAAAATGTGTCGTTTGTATCTAGCCGAGGTGCTATGAAGTCGCGGAGGATATCTCCCGGTCATTTGTTAGAGCCCGAAACAACGAGTTTTGCTCGATAAGCTGGTAAAAAGTTAATAACGCTCGAATAATGCAATATTGTCGTTGCCCGAGTTAGAACGGAAATGTATCTTGCTTTGTGTTCTGCCAAAAAACCGGTCGATATAACAATTGCAGCAATGTTTACTTGAAAAATATCGAAGATAAAAGTCAAAAAATCTACGAGATCACACACAAACTTTTTAAATTAAGTTTTAGTGTGTTTTGGCTTAAGAAATGGATGGCTCAATTTGGAAAGGATAAAAGGATAAAAGTATAAGGAAAACTAAGAAATATAGAAATAAAAGTTACATCGTTTCACACGTTATTTAACTTACCGGGAACGTATCCGCAGGTTGGCGGGTGTTCATACAATACATCCTCCTAAGCAATTTCAAGGCAGCATCTGACCTGCCAGTTGCCATGAGATACTTAGGGCTTTCCGGCAACATGGTCGCCGTCACGAGGCCGACGACGGGTGGTATTGAACAGATCAGTAGGTATATACGCCAAGCGTCGTAGTCTTGGCCAAGGATATCAATGTGCCAGTCTAACGGTAATATCGCGAAGCCAGTAACTGTGAAGTCGTACGTTTAATTATTAGAACAAATCTATAATAGTACGTTGTCTTTAATTTTCTTCTCCTAGGAAGTATAATTAAACAATCTTTTGACTTTTTGATCTGTCACTTTATCTCCTTTTTATGAATCGTGATAACGAGAAGTCTTAATCATACAGAAAATTAGTCCTACAGTAAAAAATAATTTATTTATTTCTCATAGCTTTACAATTTCGGTAATTCGCGTATTCACTGAACCTATTTGGTGCCAATGTGATTCATCGTACATGTTGTTAGGTAAAGTTTGCTGGTTATATTACACACAGGACATCGTGATAGTGACACGTAATCTAGTTTCGAATAAACTATAAGTTTTACAATCTCGACAGCAAGAGCTCGTTTTTAAATCCTTCTCACATGAATCTTCTCAAAATATTACAGTTACGTTTAGACAGATTAGTAATATATGAAAAAATAGAGCAATATTAATAATAATTGTAGTTGAGAAATTATTTCAATTATGTAGGTGCTCATCGCGCGCACGTAAATAAATTTTACATATTTTACGATTATATTAAAAACATTTGTTTTCAACTCACAATTGTCAGATTTAACTTTTAATATATTTTTACATGCATCTTTATTTATTTTTGCGAGCAATGCATTGTAATTGATAAGTACGATTAAAGGATATTGCGCGATCGCGTGTTTACCTGCTGGTATGATGTTCGCTATGGCGAAGAGAAATCCCGTCCATGTGGTGAAACGGGGTTTATACGTTGCCGAATGGAATTCTGTCAGGTACGTCATCACCATCGCCAACGGGCCGCCTACGCTATAAATCATAGATGCACGCGTGTTATATCTTATCGGGCGTAAGATTGCGAGAAGAGGAAGTTGCACGATAAACCTTGAACGGTTAAAAAGATACGTTTGAACTATTCTCGAGATTTTCAGGAGAACAGATTTGACTAACATAACAAGAAATATTATTCTGAAAATATTATTCTGTTAATCAGAATAGAAATTTCATAAAGAATTCTATTTACCAAAATATTTAACACGAATAAATTAAAAATATTTTTCTCAGAGTAAAACGATCATAAAATAGTTGTGCTTTAAGGGATTTCTGAAAAAAAATCTTGATCATTTTCTCAAAAGAATCATGTACTTACAAGATCCCGCTGATAAATTTGATTAGTAGATATATGTAGAACGACCGTACACCACTACTCACAATGTTCAAAATCGAATCACCTAATAATGCGAAGATGAACAATATTTTCATACTTATGTAGGGCGTTATATAATCCCATATAAAAGCAGTCGTTGTCATACCTACAAAAAAATCAATATATCATAATATTTAATATAAATTGAAGAGGTTATCTTATAAGATAATTTTTTAATACAGCTACACGGAGAGAATTTTTTCTTAGAGTTTACCTTGAAAATACGGATTGCTGTGGGACAACATTGTATTTCGAAGAATTTTAATGTAAATCTCTCTCATTCATTAATAAAACAATAATATATAAAATAAGTTTGATTAATTTTACTGGAGTGCACATGATAAAAATCTTTAAAGTATTATATTGTACCACTATCATATTTTCTAGTTAAATTTCAAAAAAAAATTCTCTACGCATATAAGATTATAAATGAATTAAACTAATTGCAATAAAGAATCTATAATATGACAATGATGTCCAATAATAATGTGGTAAATATTTATCTTTACACAGTCAGTCGCAAATGACTTTTGATCGATCTTGAGGTTAATCTTAATTTTAAAGAGGACGAAATTATTGGTCCTTCTCGTCGCTCATTGCTTATTGAAAAATTATTAACAAATAAAGCTGAGAATATAAAGATGCATTTAACTCTATAATTCGAATTTTACCTAATACAGATATCACATTATTCGCATATTTGTGTATTTAAATAAATGTGTGGGCGTTGGAGAGGCGGAACCATTAAATTATAAATCTCGTTTCGCACTGTAGGCAAGAAGTGATGTGGGGTGGACCTCGTTTAGAGTGGAAAGCTAGAAACATGTGAAGCCGTACAATTATCGACCTTGTTTCGCACTGAAGGCAGGGGGCGGACAGTGTGAGATGGACTTCGCTTCGCGTTGGAAAGTACATTTTAATATTTTGGGCTGCATTCGAAAGATGCGACCCAAATTTAATTTTAAAATTGGGTTTATGTTAGATTATATCTTTCAAATGGATGGAACCTTCCACCCTCACGTTTGTTTTGCATTGCAAAATAAAGTTCACTCCACACCGCTTCCTGCATACAGTGCGAAACGAGGTCTAAAATTGTACGGTTTCACATGAGCTAGCTTTCAATTTTTTACGCGAAGTGAGTGACTGCACTCCACGTCACCCCTTGCTTATAGAATGCAAAACAAGGTCTATAATTAGATGGTTTCACACTTTCCCGTTTAAATATTCACTTAAATATCCGAATAATATGATATTTGTATTTAATAAAATTCAAATTAGAAAATTAAACATATCTTTATATTGTTAACTTTATTTGCTAATAACTTATTGATAAACAACGAGCAACGGGAGAGTTCAACGTTTTTCTTGAGGATCAAAGTCAATATCAATATCAGTTGCAAGTCATTCGGAGCTGACTTTGTAAAAGTAAATATTTACCAATAATATTAATATTTAACTGTTTAAAAGAGTTTTAAAAAAGATTAAATTTTTTAGTGTTAAAGTACTATAATATTTTTTGTACAGAAATTTTTTTTTAAATTATGATTCTATAGATTATTAATATTAAATTTATGTAGGATTACTACGATTATTTCAATTAAACCCAATTTAAGTACCTATGTAAGGAAACGCAACGAGCATGCCTTTGCGAAAAAGCGTAAGCTCGAAATCGTATTCGGCTGATGCCAAGATGAATCCGCCAGAAGTAGTATCAAAAACAACGGTCCACGCAATTGGCAACACCGCCAGTAACAGCAGCACATTAAATAATCCATAACCTGAGATAAGGAAATAAAATAATAAAAATTGTTATGTATTTGTAATGAACGATTAAGAGATCTTACCGGTTGTGGATATGGCTGTATCGAAATCGGCGGGTTCGTTAACGCTATCTGAAAAATAAAAAGCCATCGAGTGACTTTACGAAACTATCACGAGGATATCTACATTGTGAGTTATATAACAAATGACGCAATTAAAACGTTTATGGAAAAGAGATATTTACGTGCAGGAAGAGCCATCTGATTACAGACGATACAAAGAAATAAGAAAGAGAAGAATAGTATTCAACAGTTTCTTTGAAAATTACATGTTGCTATATAGAATTGTCAGCTAGAACGTGACTTATCTAATAAGATAAAAAATAAATATTAAATAAAGTGTCTGTACTTATATAATGTATGAAACTCATTCAAAATTCATGCATAATACATTATACGTACAATTTATGGTAACTATATTTGCATATCGTTTCTACGACGTGTTAATCACAAACGAACATAAATCTGTACACGTACAGAAATTTACATTTATACATAGAAATAGTGTTAGAAGGCTAATAAGTAAAATTATATTTTTTCATAATATCTCACTGTTCGGTAATCTGGATAGAAACTCGTAGGACGATTCTCATATGTTCCTGTATGTGTAACTTCGTTAATTCACTATACAGAAAATTACTTCGACTTCGAAATATATTGGGTTAACACTACCGGATATTATGCAAGAAGGGCATCTCACCGGTCGTTGTGATCTTGTCATGATTTCGGTCATTCGCGTTCATGTCCGACGCGACGAGCTGAAGAGTCGACTGCGCTCGACGTGATGGAGTTAGTTTCGCTTCTCTCACGATGAAAATAGAAGTCCTAGTCGATTTAGGTGGCGATCTCGTTCTTCGATAAATCTTCGTTGCTCAATTGGATGGAACGGAACTGCGTCAAGTATCCGGCCGTTTGTTCACTTTGAATATAAAAGCAGACGTACTTTGCGAGGATGCGTTCAGAGATGCATTTTTTTATTGATGCAATTTGCGGTGCCGGAATACGAGTCCACGCATGCGATCGGACTATAAAACGGGATCACGTTTTCTGGCGAGCTTCCCGCTCGCGTAACCCACCAATAAAAACGGGTTAAACGATCCAATTGTTACGGGTATGCTTCAGAATCAGCTGTTTCTCATTAATGAATCACGCGTCTTGAAAATCTGTCAATTTGTAATTTAGAATTTAGATTAAATATTATTTTTTACATTTAAGTTTTTTATATTAAAATTTTTTATTTCAAAATTGACGAAATATTTATAAATATATACACTCGAATGATCTAAATTTTTTATTTATACTTATTTTTATTTAGAAAAAATTAGTTATTAAAATATATACATGAAAAGAGCGTGATAAAACATTTATTTATTTTAAAATTATACTTGAAAGAATTATTTAATTTAATTCATAGTATTAATTATCATTATTTACACAACTTAAATTGTCTTATTATTTATTTCATAACACCTGCTGACTCAAAGTCGCCACAACAAGGATAAATCGATTAATGGCGTTTTACACTAAAAGCATTTTTCGCAAACGAGTATTACAGGTATTAGGGAAGACCGGGGATAAAAGTAACATTTTAACTTTGAAGTGTTATAACAATTAAAATATATATAATACTTACATTAAAAAAATATGTATCTTTCACCGAACTATATATACACTGGAATGGGCATCTCCCCTGTGAAGCATAGAAAATCGTGGCACTAATTGATCAGCGCCATTTTAATTTAGTCAATATAAGAGCGAATCAGAAGCTTTCAGGTGCTCATGCGCACTTACGTTTAATGTTCTTTAGTTAGACACATATGTGAGCAAGATCATCGTGTGTGGGGTTATATTTGAAAGATTACTTTAAAAGATTATAAAATCGCGTGACTGTAAAATGTGCAAAACATCAACATGAAGTGCTGTGTGCCTGGATGTTGGCAGAGAAATAAAAAGGGCATTTCATTTCATAAGTAAGAATTTTTGTATTAAAAATGTATCAATTCCTGCACATGTATTAACGATGTAGGATATGAAAAGTGTTATTAATGTTATTTTATTAAATGTACTAATAAAATTGAGTGACATTATTTTTGTTTACATATCATTCATGTCCATATATTTAGATTTCCATACATCGATAGTATATCGATCGCAGCGCGCGCGCGCGAACGCTTCTGATTCGCTCAAATATCGTCCCAACTAAAATGCCGGCTGATCAATTGTGGCCACGAATTTTCCTCGATGCCCATTCCAGTGTATATAAGTATAGTTTAGTGGTATCTTTAGATATAGAATTTATTTAGCTACAAAATTTTCTTAGGTTTAATTATTTTATGTAACTAGAAAAGAAGTTATGTTTGTTTAAAGACTATAACGAATTTTGTTACAACCGTCCCAACCTCCAGGGACGATAGTAACGATTACAATAGAGGAGGATAATTGTACCACATTTGCCAGAGGTACATAACACAACTACACAAATCATACTCTTGCGACTGCACGAATGAATAAAACTGGTCCTTTATAACTTCTTTAAATATCTGTTTGTATAAAGACACTTCTTTTATACAGTTTTTCTCTTATCTGTCTTGTGTTTTCTTATAAATGGGATTCTATGAAGAAAAATACAAATAACATTGTACAAAATAATACTAAAATAAAATCAAGTAAGTTTAGAGATAATTGTAATGTTACAACTGCCCTCAGACATTGATGTTACTATTATCCCCTAATGATATTTTATGATTTATAGTAAATTTTTCAAATAAAAATCTAGATAAAAATCAAATGTGCAAACTATCAACGCAGATAATCATTAAAACATATTATGATAATACATTATATCTTCATTATAAAGAAAAAAAAATATTTTAGATTTTGTGTACTTTTTAAAACTTACTCTTGATGCATGAAAAAAGTAATTTCTGCTCTTGCACTCGTGCACGTTCCGCGAGCAGCATGTAACGAACGATTCAATGCTGATTTGTCTACAGAATTTTACCATGCAGCCACATATACATATTATAATTTAAGAAATATTAACGATGTTACTATTGTCCCGTGTTACTTTTTTGTCCCCGGTCTCCCCTACATATTAATTGAAGAACGAACTATTTCTTATTTGATGTTTTTGCCAATTCAGATTATAATATTAACTCACATTACAAGATTAGTGCTCACCACCTACTTAAGCTAGACAAGGCACAAAAGTGCTCCGCATATACTCTTACAATGTCGAACTCTCCCGTTTGCATCTTTTATATTGCGCCTTAAACCATAAAATGGCATAAAAGATTAAAGACCTTCAGACAATATGCACTGAGAAAAAAGATATAGTAATGGTAAAAAAAAAAGTGAATTATTCACAAATGGCCGATTATCATTGGATTATTTTGTTAAAATAACAAAATACAATATTTTTTTGTTAGATAAACAAAATTTTTTAATTTAACAATACAAATTTATTTGGTTACTTACGTTTTGTACATAACAATGTGAAATTTGGTTACTATTACAAAATAAGTATTCTTTTAGTAATTTCAACAAAATAATCCATTATCGATTAGGGACTAATCTCGTGGACTTCTCGGTTCTCGCCACACCATAATCAATCATGCTGGTAACTATTTTTTCAGAGCGATTAATAATCTCAATTGCTCTAAATCTATATATATTTTTGCTAAGCTAAGAAAATTCAAAAACGCCAAACTAATCACTCTGTAGAAAATGAGAGATACTTATATATTATTCATTTTGTTCCGGTAACAAAATGTTCTATTTCAAATTACAAAAGATCTATATAAACATCATACAAAACATTTTGTACCATTAAATGATCAGTTTAGTTAATAAATTCAACAAATTAATATTGTCGTGGTAACTAACGGTTTGATTGATCATTTATCAACAAATAATTTTTGTATCAGTAACAAAACTTTGGTTATTGGTACAAAACATTTCTCTCAGTGTGGCCATATTGAATGTAGGCCAATACTTAGCGAATGTGCATAAAGTTGGCGTATACATTGGCCAATTATAGAATATTGTCTGGAGGCGCCTTAAAGAGAGAGAGTGTGAGATATTCTTATACAATTCAATTTTTTAATTATTTATCTTTCTTGTTTGTTGGATTGACAAAAAGATATTGTAAAAAGTAAGTTGGTGTTTCTCCCCTCTCTCAAAGCCCTATAAGTTAATCTGAACGGAAAAGACAAGAATAATCCGAAAGCAATAATCAGTAATCCTAGGATCAGTGATCTCCAGATATGATTAGAAAAGATTGGAAACATCTGTTATAACTATTATTGAACATACGATTCTATTTTCGTGAAGAAAAATGAATATTTCACGATAAGATATAAGTTTTCATTTTGTAGAAAATGCAATAGAAAAAGTAATTATATAATTGAAAAAGTTTCATTAACATATCTACAATCACATATTATAGTAAAGCAAAAATATTATTATAAAATGCACCATTATTCTTTGAAGTTTTATCGTTCAGTATTCACTCAATTTCGACACAATCCTTTGAGCTTGCATGTAATGTTATTAGAAAGGAAAGAAAGAAAGAAACATGCCGTAATATAATTTAATCGCGAGTTTTTAGACGAATTTTTTGGCGCTTTTGATTACTTTTATTAAATTGAATGTTATGAAACAGATCCACATTAAAATAATGAACGGAAGTCACTTTTGGACACGCAAACAACCATTTAAAAAAAGAAAATACTGATAACAGAACTCATGGTCAGTGGAATTCGTGGCGAGGAAAATGTACCGACAAGTAATGGTTGGATATTACAACGCAACTCATTTTCGATTTCTCGTGGAAAAGTAGAAGACAGTAGTAGGTACATTTCTTATCGCAGTTAACATATCACATGTTACACAGTCACTGTGCAAATACACTCGTTTACCGTGTGAATTAATTCACATGCATATGTTGATATTTGCTTTAACCATTAAGATATGATGAGGCGAAGAAAACAGTCTTGCTTCAAAATAATTTTTTTTGATCGTTATTTGCATTTATTCGTGCAAGGAATTTGCATTTTATCGATTAATAACAAGATAACTTTATAGACTTTATCGTACACTTAAACTCGTTTTCCTGCCATAAATGAAATGAATTTTTTTTAAATGTTTATCCTTACATTCCTTAATTTGAATTTATGTATAATACGTAAAAAATATAATTAAAATAATAATAATAGTAGTAGTAATGAGCATCGAAGAAGATATTAACTTAATATCCATTATTATATAATTAATTATAAACTTTTGTACCTGTATTAATGCATCAATTTTCTTTTTAAGTCACCGTTACAATTCAGGACATAAAATGCTCTTTGAAGCAATCATAATCCTTATCGCTTGATGAGATTTGCTAGGAGAACAATTAAATTATTAATCTAGTAAAAAAGTAGTTCAGGAAAAACAGTTTTTTTTCTCTGCGATTATTTTACCGCAAAAGCAAGGCTCATCATTTCCGGTTCCGTGCTATGCAGATTTACGGCGGCAGAAACGGAAATGGATATTTGATCCGGCGGTGTTGCACTAATCTTTAGTCACCGACTAGTTCTCTCTAGTGGTATTCGACCCAGTTGACAGAAATACAAGAGTGCCACAGCAGGTTCAAATTGGATTTAACATAGCCTTCTCCCTGGTTGCTGACCGATCATTTTCGTTTAATGGCGAGAGAAGTACACATACAAATTTCCGGCATGTGAGAAAAGCTTTTAGAAAAGATAATCCCAACATTTTTCCATTTTCATTGGATTTTAAATAGATCTTCGATAAATCCTAACTTGTTAGATTTTCTCTTGCATTAAAACACAAAATTAAATTACTTATCACAAAAAAAATTAGTTAATTTATGATCACTTTATCTCTATTAAATCAAATTATGTAACTTTTTTTAGCTCTCTCTTAACGCACTTCATGCTTTATTGTTTGTGTGTGTGTCACTTTATTATACATTAATATATGATCCGAGAGAAATATTTGATATTCTTATCTTGTATCTTAGAAATAAATATAAATCTCAAATACATTTTAATATAA